ATGAATAAGAATGGCAGCGTTCCCCGCCAGACCTCAACCGCCAGCTCTCGATGGCAATGTCCCCCGCCGGACCTCAATCGCGAATGCCGCTTGGCAGTGTTCCCCACCGGATGAACTTTGACTGGCAATGTTCCCGCTGGACCTCAACCGCGCCTCAAACGCCAACTCCCGATCGCAGTGAGCGCTTAACCGCTAATTCCCGATCGCAATGCGCGCTTCCAGACATTGCCCACAAATGCCAGATCGGCATGGGCACTACCGGACCTCAACCGCAAGCGCCAGATCGCGATGGGCACTACCGGACCTCAACACACAACATAAACCACACCATAGAACCATCATATAATGACATGTATAAATTTTGTATTTTTGTGCTTATATAATAACAACTTTGCACATAGCTCCGCGATAGCATCCCCCAAACGGTTCTGAACGGTTTAAAGTGTTTCGACTAAGGCCCCCCGCGAAGGGATCTGAACGGTTTAAAATGATTAAATTATTTCGCCCGGTTGCGAATTATTACGGAACCATATTACTTTTTGGGTTCTGAATTGTCCGAACGGTTTTGAATGGTCTAAGGGATTGCTTTTTGTTTTCTTGATTATCGGGAAATTGATCTTTTTGTAATAATATATATATATATAATATTATAATGTATTTATGAATAAATTGCATTCCAAAAAATTAATTCTAAAAAACATATAATTTAAGGATATTTAAGATTGGAAATATAAAGATTAATAATACGATATTAATATGAATTTATTTTATATTATTAATTTCTTTTATGATTTTATTAATTATTTGTATTATTATATAGAAGCTTAAATTTAAATGTAAAATTAAATGACGATTTAGAAATTATTTTTTATATAATTATACATATGTTAATATTTAATAATAATAATAATATAATTATTTATGTATTTTTTTGCATTATATATATTTAATTAAATTGATTATATTATCGAATAAAAAGAAAAAGAATTATTTATATTATAAAATTATTAATGAAATTAAAATTATTGAACTTACAAAAAAAATACATATTAAAAAAAAATATATATTTTAGATGATTATTGTGGTTGAATCAGCATGAAGGTTTAAGGCGTAGAGGAAAAGGATTGGTGGTGGCGACCATTTTTAGTGGTAGCGGAGCCCCGAAGAGGAACCGTAATATTTTCGTAGGACCCGTAGGATTTGGTTGGAGGATTAGGTTTCGCTTTAGAGCCATGGAGAGGGCCGGAGAAGAAGCCCCGTTGCCTGGTGATTTTCCGACACTTTTCACCAGGCGACGGACCGTGACGTTCAATGAGGGCACCGGGCAGGCTTCATCGGGGACTTTGAGTTCGGCTTCCATGGCCTTTGACCCGTGGGCTGCGGCAAGAGCGGAGGATAGCTCGGAGCCAGAAGGTGACCTTCTTCGAGAACACCAGCGGGCTGCGATGGTTGCGCCGGTGAATCACACCTACCAGGTCGGCTGGACCGGGTGGGAGAACTGGGAGGAAGAGAGCAGCGAGAACGCTGATGGATGGCGAGCTTCGTCAAGGGCCTCCTTAGACAGGTCGAGCGTGGCTTCGTGGTCAGCGAGTTCATGGAGTTCGGAACACCGTGATTGGGGGAAGGCACTGGGAAGATGACAATATCATGGGGATGATTCGGACGAAGGACATGGTGGGGCGGCCGAAGATCAAGGACAGGACGGGCACGAGGGAGATGGACCAGGCATGTCGCCGTTGTCAGCCGCACCGACTATTCGGATGCGAGATGCAGCGAACAAGCCAACTGGTTTGGTGCCGAGTGGACATCCCTCGGTGGCAGGTGGCTCCGGGGTGGGATCGGCGCCGGCGGGAGGAGTAACTGGTGGACATACTGCCAAACTGTCCTCTTCCTACCCGCCAATTTTCTATGCCCGTCCTGGTGAATCTTGGCAGGAGTACTGGCGGACAGTTGAGTTCTGGCTGGCTTCGGAGGGCAAGTTATTGCCGCCCGAAATACAGGGTCCCTGACTCATGTAACAGCTTCGTGAGCGTGCAGGAAAGATTGTATAGCACCTGACGATGCAAGAAATCGCAACAGACGGGGGCATTGACATCATCCGCCAGACCATGGAAAAGAGCCTGATCATCAAGATCTTGGACACCAAGAAAGTTGACAAGCGCAGACAAAAGTTTATGAGGCTCGGGAGACTCTCAGGTGAGTCAATCGAGTCTTTCCTGAATCGGGCGGAGATCTACCGCCGCGAGAACCAGTCCTCCCCCGATTACACGGTCGGCTCCAAGTTCTACATTGGCCACTTGCTGGATGCGGCGAAGTTGACCAAACGTGACTTGGCATTAATTAAAGCTGCTGCGGGTGGAAGCTTGGAGCATAAGGAACCGGTCACCCTCGCCTTGCTGGACCTGGCAGAGCAATTGGAAGGTCTTCCACACTTTCCGATCGGCAAGGGTGAAGCTCTCTTGGACAATGAAGATAAATATTTGGTCCAAAAGGGGGATGGGGCATCTATGACATCACCTTCGCCGGTGATCACTTCGTCACCGAATCCGGGTCCACCTCGAAGGAGACGCTTCTTGAACCGGAAGAGGTTCCGAGAAGCTTTGGTGGCCATCATGGAGGGTGAGGATCCGGAGGAGACCAACCCTGAGGCTGAAGAGATCTTTGCGGCGATCCATGGAACAGAAGCCGGAGATGACAGCTTCGATGAGGATGACGAGAACCTGGAGACCAACTCTGGGGCGGGCACGGCAAGTTCCGGTGTTTCAGAGACCGGAGAGACGCCTTTGCTAGAGATCTACGCCCAGGAGTACAAGGCCCGAAACAAAGTCCGTGAGCTGCGCAAGATGCGATAGTACTTCACCAAGGACAAGATCGGGAGTAGAGCCCAGCGCGGACTCCCGGATGACTTCCACCGGAGGAACCTATGTCATTGCGGACCCCGACGGCACGAGCAACTCCATGAATGAGGATCTCATGGGCGCGAGCAACTATGAGCCGGTGATTCCGGACAAGCTCCACACCCATGACCCTGTCGAGACCTTCCTAAACCGGGGGCAGCGCACAACGATCCTTCGTGGTTTGCAGCGGGCCAAGGAGGTCAATGCCTTTTTCCAAGAGGCCCTGGGGGAGCCTACACCTGGTGCCCCTCCGGGAGATGGATGGCTACTTTTGGAGATCTTCGCTGGCAAGGCTACGTTGAGCAAGACGGCGCGCCAGCGAAATTGGCGGGTGTTACCACCACAGGATATTATCATCACGGGCTTGGACATCACTAGGCCGGACAACCAACAGCTCTTGAAGGAGATGATTGAGGTCCAACAGCCAGATGTCATCACTTTGTCCCCGAAATGCGGACCATGGAGTGCTTGGCAGAGACTTCGCCGAGATCGTGCACTGCTGTTAGCTCAACGTCGGGATGAGTTGCCTTGTTGGGACTTCGTGGAGTGGGTGTGGCATCATCAGACCGCTCGTGGAGCACTGGCAGTGTTGGAGCAGCCACGGCAGTCCGAGGCCTTGAATCTTCCTGCACCGACGAAGGCAAGTCTACACCAAGCACGTGGACCAGTGCATGCTCGGCTTACGGGACCGGGTGAATAATCGACCTCACAAGAAGCCTACGGCTTTCCAAGGGAATCATCCATCTGTCTTGGCATGGCAGGAGATTCTATGCATTCATCACCCGGATGAACACCAAGTCATCGAAGGTTCGGTGCGAGTGAAGATTGAGGGTCAGTGGCAGACGAAGAGACGCTCAGAGCTGGCGGCTGCCTGGCCCACGGATCTATGCAATTGGCTGCTAGACTGCATCTTCAACTCACTGGCTAAGATGAGCGGGCTGTGGACGGAGGAGGTAAACACCTTACTGGAGCAGAACCTGCCCATACTTCGTCGTCTTCATCAGGCATCTACGGAAGGAGGTCCCGTTCATCTGTCGGTCCCGATGGAGCTGGAGAGACAACCTGAAGCAGCTCTTCGACAGAAGATGAGTTTGATGCAAGATGAGGAGGCCAAGACCAAGTATGATTACATAAGCTTTGTCGGCTCCAATGCCACCTTGAGTAGGAAGATGAGGAGTACGATTGCACATCTGCACGTTGCCCTCGGCCACATTGGTGCGGACAAGCTGTGTCGTATGCTGTCACTCAACGGCGCCAAGGAATCTGTAATCACCGCGGTGAAGAACTTGAGATGCGGTGTCTGTTCTCAGGTGGTGTCACCTACTCCCCCGCCTAAGGCCTCCTTCAAGCGCCCGACCAGCTTCAATGAGAGGGTGTGCATGGACACATTCTACGTGTGGGACGCTCAGTCATTGAAGTATGCGGTGACCCACTTGGTGGACGCGTTCTCCCTGTATCAGGTGGCCATTGTGTCGAAGGATCCATCGGCAGCGACGACCACCAGGTTGGTTCGGGACAGGTGGATCGGCACCTTCGGGCCTCCCATGACCTTGATGACCGACGGAGGAACTGAATTCAGTGGAACTCTGGAGTCGGTGCTGCGCACATTTCAAGTTTACCATGACATAATTCCTCCCACAGCCCACTGGCGAATGGCCTTAGCTGAGAGGCATGGTGCGGTGCTGAAGTTGATGATCATGAAGATTGTCAAGGAGAAGACGGTCATGGGGCTGGAGGAGATGAAATCTGCTGTCACCTGTGCCACCGCAGCCCGAAACTACCAAGCTCGTGTGTCTGGCTTCAGTCCGGTGCAGCTGGTGCTGGGACGAGAGAATCCGATGCCAGACAACATCATGGATGTCTTGGAGAAGGGCCACATGATGTACCACCTGACGGACCCCATGAATGTTGAAGATTCGATGAGGAGGACACTGGACATCAAGCGATCGGCCGAGGAGGCGTTTGGCTGGCTCCAAGCTCATGACGCTCTGAAGCTCAGCTTGAATATCTAAATTGCCAATTTCAAAGGACCCCGCAACTTGGGCAGTGCCAGGCACTGTGTTGCTAGTGTGCAAGGTGCAAGCTCCATGTAGGAGCGCGGCAATGACTTGTGCGGAGCCACCTCCGAGTCGACGGGGCTTGTCTCGAAGGTTGCAAGATGATGTGAGTTGGGTCGGACCCGCGATGGTTGCTGCAATTGAGAGGAAGGATGGCAGCATCAAACGTGTCTGGATTCGCTACAGGAACAAACTCAAGGGCTTGCCGCTTGAATTTGTCAGACTTGCAGTCGCTGATGAGATCGAAGCCCAGAACATCGCAACCGAGGCCTTTGAGGACATTGAGAAGGAGCTGACCGAAGGACGCCCCAAGGCGGTGATTACGCCCGAACTTCCCCAGGTGAAGGACCAGAACTATCCCATCATGGAGTTCTCGGACGATGAGGAACCGCGATATGTGGATGATGGGGGGCGAGCGGCATCAACCTTGGACGACGTGCCCATGTCTCTGCACAAGAAGGAGGCCGAGGATGATCCGGCATTGTGACCCTTTCCAAAACGTCAACAGGGGTTTGAGCCCAAGCTCTCGCTGGACCAGGCCGCTCAGAAGACCCGACATCACCTGCAGGAGATGAAGGCGAAGCTGGAGGGAAAACCAGCTCAAACCAGTTTTAGAGGTGAACCTTCTGCTCCGAGTACGGCTAGTGCTAGCGCGGCAGCTCGAGCATCGTCATCGGCAATGGAACCAATGAGGACCACACCTTCACGGTCCGATCGAAAGAAGAAGGCCGATAGCAACCCCAAGGGCGCCAAAATGCCTCGGACAGCTATGGTGGTGGAAGGAGTGAGGCCCGTCCTGGAGTCGTATGTGGTACTTCCCCTGCAGTCACCATTGGAGACGGTGTGGCATGACGATGACGACATGGCGCTGATCAACTTGGCCGCCGATGAGATGGAAGCGCGACCTGACTTTCCAAGTCCATGGCTTCCGGCGCCGGGCAATGTGGAGTTGATGCCTCCTCGACATTTTGTGGGGTTTCAAGAGCCGTTTGATGATGTACCGGCTCATGAGGTCAAGTATACCCGAGGTACATGGAAGCAACCATGTCCGAACACTCCGGTGCCACACGTACATGTACCTCGGCATGTCGATCGACTACCTCAAATGCCACCGGCTATGACCCAACCGATGACTGAGGCTCAGATGCGGGCTTTGGAACGAGCGAGATCGGAGTGGCCAGACCAAGACCTGTGGATTTATGATGTGGAGATCGAACAACTCTGGCGGGTCCATCAATGTCCCCGCGAAAAGCTCTTTGTTCCACACGAACCGACTTGGCCGTCTTCGATCCAGCTCTCGCACTTTGTGGGCCCGCGGGTCACTTGGCTCTACTTCGACGACGACCACGAGGTGGTGGTGGTGGACAACTTTCGCTGGCAGGGCTGCAATCCTGAGCTGCGAACGGGAGATGGGCGCAAATGGCGCGGCTTCACCAGATTCTGGGTCAGGCGTCCTCCGGAGATTTCGGACTTGAACATGTGGCTCAGCACGAGGGCATTGGCCGAAGAACTTTGGCGTGCTGCCCAGCAGCTGATGAGCCTCTACTTCCGGGACAAGGAGGAGTACAAGGCGGATTGGAATGAAGTCTTCATGATCCAGACGGAGGTGGCCGAGATGGTGGGGAAGTTGCCTGTGATGAAGAGGATGATCAAGCCCAAGAAGATGACGCCGCACCAGTGCTACCTCGAGACACAAGCGGATGTGTAAGATCTTCCCACAGGCAAGGTTCGATTGGAGCTGAAATGGAATAGCTTGTCTCATGCTTGGAAGAGAGCTTTTGAAGAGCCCATCAAGGACGCGTTGGACGTGTACTTCAAGTACGAAGCGGTTGCTCCGGTCTCCATGGATGAAGATGTCGACACCAGCAATATCCTCCCCTCCAGGTTCGTCTTGGTGAACAAGTCGGACCCGAGGAATGTCAGCCCCTTGGATGAACACTTGGAGGACGCAAGATTGAAGGCGAGATGGGTGGTGTCAGGACATCGAGATAAAGAGGCTGGTATGTGGGAGACGGAAGCTCCCACCGCATCCTTGGTGGCACACAACCTCCTTTGTTTCTTTGCTGCTCAATTTGGATGGACCATATTTTTTGGTGACATCACGGCGGCTTTCTTGCAGGGAGAAAACCTCCATCCAGATCGTAAAGTGCTGGTCTCCTTGCCACGAGGGTATCCGGATTTCGTGCAGGAATTTTTGACTTCGAAATTGCCGCCTGGTTCACGCCCAGATCTGGTCCGTTTTACTAAAGGGAGCTTTGGGTTAGCTGAATCACCACGCCTTTGGCTCCAAAAGTTGCAGAAGACCTTGATCAGGTTGGGGGCCAAAGAATGGTTGCTGATTCCCGGTGTCTTTTCAGTCTTCGTTCAAGGGGAGATTGTGGCGATGATTGCTTGCCATGTGGACGACATCAGGATGGTGGGCCATCCTGAGAAGGCCAAACCTGTCTGGGAAGCCATCAAAGCCGAGTTCACCTTCGGGGAATGGAGACATGTGGTGGGCCATTGGGCCAAGTTCTGTGGGCGATATGAGAGGCAACTCCCTGACGGGACGATAGAGGTGCAGATGGACGAGTACTGTGAGAAGCTTCAATTTCCTCCGAAGAGATCTTGGGGCAACATGGTTGAGAAGGATGGCACTGAGCTCACGCTGAATGAGAAGAAATGGGTTCGGCACGTCTGGGGACAGCTTTCTTGGCTTGCGAGACAATGCCGAGGAGATCTGCTGTTTGGGGTCTCGAGGGTTCAACAACTTGCTGGAGTAGGAGACCCCGCTGCCTTGGACGAGCTCTATGTTTTGATGGAGAGGGCCAAGGACTTGAAGACCATGCGGTTTAAACCATTGAAGTGTCCCCCAGGTGCCAGTTTTGGAGGCATGCCACGTGGTCGCAATCAGGGTGGAGTAGTGTGCTTGATTGCCCATCCCGATCTGCTGGAGGGCAATCGGGGCAGTGCCGATCACCTTCCAGTCGGCACTATTCAAGAGAGTGGTGAGGTCAAGCTTGGCCGCGGAGATCAGCCAAGCGGCCGAAGCTCTGGATCAAGCCGACTTTCTCCGCGCGGTCATGGCGGAAGCGCTGTACGTCGGCTTCGACTTGGACCAGTGGTTGCTGCATGTTGCCCACTGGCGTTTGGTCACGGTGCTTGACAGCCGCACGGGGTACGACCTCGTGAACGGGTCAGGACATGGTGAGGATCGTCATCTAGCAATAGACATAGCGGCGATGAAACAAATTCTGATCGAGGATGGCGGAAACCGCCTGGTGAGGTGGGTGCCTGGCAACGACCACATCGCCGACGACCTGACCAAACTGATGGACAATGGTAGGCTGATGGTGTCGATCTCGGACAACACCTGGTCCCTGAGAGACACCGCTGAAGCGAAAGCGCTTCGGGAAGACGCGGCCGCGAGAAAGCGCCGTTACCGGCAGAGGATCGCGCAAGGGCGCAAGGCCGCGGAGCATTTGCGCCAAAGGGCGTAAGTGTGGTTGAACCAACCTACAGGCTCAAGGCATAGAGGAAAAGGATTGGTGGCGGCGACCATTTTTTTTATGATAATGTTTCTAATTAAATTTAATTTGAATAAAATTTGTGGTTGATTAAATATAATTTTTTAATAATGATATATATTTTGCATTTATTAGGAATATATTTTTTAAACAATAATTTTTGAAATAAATCTTTATATATCTATAATTTTTTACAAATCATTTATATATAACATATAATTTACAATTAATTTTATATATAAAATATATTTTGCAAATAATTTTATATAAATATATAAAATATAATATATAATAAAACATAAATTTATATATATAATATTATTTATCAAATTATATATTATATACGCATATAAAATATATAATATTATATCCCAATATGACCGATACACCATCAAAACAAGACCGCACCACCATAAAAACAAAACCACGCCGCGCCACCATCAAAACATAATTAGGACACAATCAAAATATAATCGGAACACCATCACAACATAACTGCGCCATCATCACATAATCGGGACACCATCAAAACATGATCGGCGCACCGTCCCAATATAACTGCCACGCAATCACAATATAACCGGCATACCATCAAAACAAGACCGAGACACCATCAAAATATAAATAAGACACAATCAAAACATAATCGGGACACCATCACAACATGACCGCGCCACCATCGCATGCTCGAGACACCATCAAAACATGACCGGAGCACCGTCACAACACGACCGGGATACCATCAAAATATGATCGAAACATCATCACAACATGACCGGCACACCATCAAAACATAACCAAGATACCATCACAACATATTCGCAATACCATCAAAACATGACCGATACACCATCAAAACAAGACCGACACACCATCACAACATAACTAGATCACAATCAAAACATAATCGGAAGATCATCAAAACATGACCGGGACACCAACATCACATGACCCAAACGCCATCAAAACATAACCGGGACACCATCCGCCGACCAACTCTAACGATGACCCGACGGCGCCCGTCCGCCTATGTTTTGCAAGACCCCATAACATAGCTATTGGGGAAATATACATATATATTTATAAAATATAATTTGCAAATACATTTATACTTGAGAGGAAGGAGACACGAAAGGTAAGACAACGGGAAGAGAAGAGAACGCGAGAAGCAAGAACAAAAATACAATGTTCGACATGGTAATTTATCCCCTCGGAAGCGGCGATCTTTCGTAAATATATATTCATATGCATTTTAAATGTTCAAATATATTCTCTCGAAATGTTCAAAAAGATTCTTAGGAAAATAAATTTGCCCATAGCTCAAATCATCGGCGAATATTAAATCGGAATATCGTAGGATTTTAATTATCCTAAAACCATAAAAAACTCAAAATTAACGTACTTCACAAAATAAATTCTAAATATATATTCCCTCGGGCAACACCTTTCGTAATTTAAATTTCATATTCATTCTTTCTAAATATTCAAAAGGGTTTCAACTATCCTAAAATCATGAAAGGCTCACGAATACGTTCTCCAAGAGAGAATTAATTTTAGAAAGAGGGAAGGGGGGAGGAAGAAGGATCTATATTAAAAAATTAATTCCAAGGGGGCCGGGGGAGGGGAGAATCTATATTAAAAAAACAATTCGAGGGGGGTAGAGGGGGGTCTAAATTAAGCGATCAATTATTAAATCCGGACATCCCAACACTTCCCCCAGACAAACTCAAAATATCCCCTAAAGGGCTACCTTTCGTGATATATAATATAATTTACAAATAACTATATATATAAAATATAAATTAAAATATAATTTTAAAAACATTAATATATTTTATATAATTTGCAAGTCATTTTATAATTATAAATAATATCTATACAAATAAATAAAAACAAGAAACACAAAAAACATATTATATAAAATATCCAAATTCCAGACCCTCAGTACCTACAGCCAACAACACCAACTCTCAACATCCTGAATTCTAACATCATCACCCTTGACATCCACAAACATAAGCACCACCATCAAGTCACAATTCTAACAGCACAAAGCTTTAACAACTTCAGATGCATTCTCAACATCATGAATTCCAATATCACCAACTTCAACAAAACAAAGCTTCAACAACTTAGATGCACTACCCTCAACACCAATATCACCTTAATACCCCAAAGCCTCAACACCTTCAGCTTCAACAACACCAACTCTCAACATCATGAACTCTAACATCACCACCCTTAACATACACCAACTTCAACAGCACAAAGCTTCAACAACTTAGATGCACTACCCTCAACACCAATGTCACCTTAATGCCCCAAAGCCTCAACACCTTCAGCTTCAACAACACCAACTCTCAACATGATCAACTCTAACATCATCACTCTTGACACCCACCAACTTCAACAACACAAAGCTTCAACAACTTCAGATGCACTACCCTCAGCATCAATGTCACCTTAATACCCCAAAGCCTCAACACCTTCAGCTTCAATAACACCAACTCTCAACATCATCAACTCTAACATCATCACCCTTCACATCCACCAACTTCAACAGCACAAAGTTTCAACAACTTCAGATGCACTACTCTCGACATCAGTTTCACCAACATCAACCTCCATATCCCAAACCCTCAGCGCCTTCAGCCAACAACACCAACTCTCAACATCGTGAACTCTAACATCATCACCCTTGACATCCACAAACATGAGCACCACCATCAGAGTTACAGCTTCAGCAATTCTAACAGCACAAAGCTTCAACAACTTCAGACGCACTCTCAACATCATGAACTCCATCATCACCACCTTTTCTAACAGAGATTTGGTGACTCTGAGCTGTTGATTTGGTGACTCTGAGCTGTTTGAACACACCAGAGGCCTTCTGAGATTTGGTGACTCTGAGACACCAGAGGCCTTCTAACAGAGATTTGGTGACTCTGAGCTGTTTCAACACACCAGAGGCCTTTCTAACAGAGATTTGGTGATTCTGAGCTGTTTGAACACACCAGAGGCCTTCTAACAGAGATTTGGTGATTCTGGGCTGTTTGAACACAGGCTTTCTAACAGAGATTTGGTGACTCTGAGCTGTTTGAACACAGGCCTTTCTAACAGAGATTTGGTGATTCTGAGCTGTTTGAACACAC